GGATAGGAGCGTTTAATTACTGCAAGGCTCCGCTAATTTGACACTATAAGCTATCTCTATATATTGAGTTTCGGAGCACAGGACTTTCCAGCTAAATTAGACACACACTTATATAGTTTAAGACTAGTATGTGCCGGAAATTAATTGGGTCTTTTAAATGTCTTTTTATTATTAAAACTAATAGGTAAATTTAACGAAATAGTTTTATTAGGAGATAGTCTAGGAGGAACTAATGGTAGGCATTGTCCGTAGTCAACGCGATAGTACAGAATCAAATAAATTCCTTTTAACGGTGTAAAGTGGAAAACTTTAATGCGGATTCCTGTTCAAGTCCCGCCCGTCTTGATTTTTATATCGATTTTTGTTCACATTTAACGGTTTAAAACGTGGCATATATAAATTCACATATTTTTTATTTGGTCTACCTACGGCCATGCTTTGCAGCAGCCATAGTCACGGGGGGACTAAAGATCAAGAGTGTTTCTAATAATGGAAACTGTAGTATAGTTTTTACTGAGCTCTGTAGCATTAGGAAGGGTTATTCTGTACAAGTTTGTATGTAGTTAAATAGATAGAACAATAAATGATTAAATGAAACTTTAAAAAATTACGAAAATTTATGATAACTAATTTTTTAATTAACATCTTAATGTCCAAAGGAATGAAAGAGAAAAAAGCGCGAGGATTTTTAAATTGAGAAAAATCAATAAACAAAGTGACAAGACGAAATAAATACTCGTCTACACGGCTCGTCAGTTTTCAATACGTCACAGAGTGGAACCAAGTCAACAGACTGTTGATAACAGTTGCCCACTTGAAAAAACGCTACTCGTTAATCTTAGAGAGTTCACAATCAAGCAAAAAGGGAAGAATACTCTAGCATATATAGCAGCATATATGACCGCCTCTGTAGCCAAATGGTTAAAAGAGAGGTCCTGGGTTCGAATCCCAGGGAAACATAAAATTGTTTCGGTCAGGCAAGGCACAGAAGTCTGATCAACTACTCACCCGTTAAAAGAACGGATCAGTGAAACGGGCACAGAAATGTTTTCCCCCCAGGCCCCACGAGGGGGAAACGGGCTTTCACTTTTATATATAGCGGTCTTACTTCATATACAGTCTTTGTACCATTACCTATAGGTGCTTTTTTATGCTTTGTGTCAGTAAACTGTCGCAAAAAAATCCAAAAGTGATTTGAAAACAAAAACAAAGACGCACAATTATTACTTTAAAGGATCCCACTGCTACGCATTGTTCTATAGTCTTCTTAGTTTTCAGTAAACTAATAATTATTGCACTACTTACTGGTTACATCAAACTGTGGCGATGGGCTCCCCTCGATCGCCGGCACTCTCATCATTTCCTACGGGCCATATTTATCCGATGGATGGCGATAACCCTCGCGTACTTGAGGGATATTGCGTTTTTACTTTGTATTTTCATATAACATTTTGAAACAAAAATGTACGTGTAAAAGAAAAAAGTTACAAATTATTTTTCAATTCCATTCCAGGTGGCGAGCAATAATTCTATTATATAACATAGGAAGATATCTATTTAAAAAGCGAGTATGTAACTTACCTGTTATTTTGGGCATCCATTTTAATTTTTACCCACGAAGTCAGTCGGGTCCTTTCTCGTCGTTCTTGCAAGTTAACCTTTAAAGATAGACATATAGCGTCGCGGACTTTTTTTTAATAATTTAAAGAGGAATCATTTTTTATACATATTTTTGGGTATCATGAACTATTTTTGCACCCTTGGAAACTCATAATAATTTTCCCAATTTTTTTCACATATCTCGCTGTATCTTCGCTTGTATTAGACACAGGGCGATATTTTATAGCCTTCCTCGATAAATATTCTACTCACACAAATATTTTTTCAATTCAAATACGTAGTTCCTGAGATTAGCGCGTTCAAACAAACAAACTCTTCAGCTTTATATATTAATATAGATTTAAGAAATATTATCTTTACTGATATTGTAATTTAAAAACTAACAATAAATACAGATTTATTTAAAATTACATTTGCTGTTTGTCCCTGAGTATTCAGATTATTTTGTTTTTAATATTTGTTGGTAATTTAACTTGCCAACGAAGTAGAGCATATTTGTATTACATATAATATAGGTATAAGTGACAGATGACTGACAACTGTCAGTCTGTTGAGAGTCAGTTGTCAGTCATCTGATCGTTTGGGTAAAGAACCCACGTGAAAATACTACGCACTGTTTAAATCTTTTAATTCCAGCGGTTGGACTACAGATGATAATCCTATAATTTCGTCAGCAACAGATAAACGCAGGCTTACACACCGTAAATCAGGTGTCCGCAGTCGCGTTACTGAAATAAAGAGAAAAATGCCGCCGCTCGCGTCGACGTGTCGGAAATATTAACTCGCCCATTTGAATACTTTATGATCAGTAAAAAAGGAAGATTTGAATCACAAATGTGTTCGCATTTTAATCAAACAAGTCGAATTTCGGTGTCGCCCGACATTTTGTTGAACACTTTATGTGCCCATTGTTATTACTGTCGCGTTGTCTGCTTGTTGTGTTTGAGCGTTATAATTTTTTATGACGATTAAAGCTCCGTGGGTATCGTGACGTGAAAATATACTATAATTATATTTCGTTTATATAAGGTTTAATACCGTTTCCCTCATGGAGCTCGAACACATCACTATGTTTTTTTTTTTCATCTGTGCTCTGCCCAATTGACACAATCTATTGTTTCCCTGAGATTCGAAATGGGGGCCTTTTGAGATAAACACAATTCTAGGCAGCACGTTTGAGCATTAAGCTACAGAGGCGATTTTGTTTGTATATAAGTACCTAATTGTATATTTAAATTTTTCTGTTCATAATTTTTGTTGAAAATCTTTGTACAATTTAAGTGCAGGAACCATTAATAAGTTTCACCGCGAAGTTTTGCTGTTTTCTATGTAAAATCAATAAATAAAACAACAAAGAATTTATGTTAGCTCATCATACTTGTTTAAATTCGCATATGTTTAAGTTTAACTAATATAACGCGTTTTAAACCGTTAAAGAGTTTCATTTAAAAGTTTAAATAAAATATATCGCGTTTTAAACTGTCAACGTGTTTTTAAATCTTGATACTCAAAAAAACTATTATGCGCAGACAAAGTCGCCAACATAGCTCTAGTGTTTCATAACGATGCATGTTAAGGTTAAAACAGCCCGTAATATCAATAATACCGGATATTTGAAATCACTGTTTAACCGAAAATACCTGTAATCGTAACGATAATTAATTATTCTCTGAACCACTGAGAGTTTGCAGTTTATGAAATAGTAGTTAGCAAATAGTTTAAATTATAAGCAAATACAATTAAAACGTTCTCCTCTCGTCGAAAAACTTTATGCTAAGTTCCGCGAAGCAAACAAGCACTCCCAAGAAACATAATTTAACTTCCGCGCTAAACAAAATGTTTCATTCGAAAGCGTTCTCCTAAAGACCGTTACAAATTGAATCTCATACTCAATCCTTTATTTCATCGCTTTCTCTTAATGCTACGAAAATATTAATAATCGGAAATTCCCCATTCAACGGAATGCCCTGGCGTCGTGTTTTGATTTCTTAAGTATAAGAATCTTCACCTTTCGACAAAGCTCCATTCCGTCTTTGATAAATTTCAGACGCTTGACAAATTTAAATCAAGAAACCCTAATGAATTTTCGCTGTACATGGATGGACGTAATTTTCTTTGAATATTGCATTAAAGCGATGCGCGACGACGAAAGTAAAGTGTAATTAAATTAATTAAAACAAGTATAAGGTTTACAAAACTAAGTACTTTATTATGTATATATTACGTAGACCTAATTCATGAGAGTGGTATATATTAAGTAAAACAATGAAACGGTTTAAAAAGCAAAGTTAATACATTTTATAAAAAAAATGTCATTACTAAAATAACTACAATTTAACGCTAATTAATACAGAGATGGCATAACAGGACAATATTTTCGTTACATAAATTGGCATATTGTGAGACATTGATTTTTATTTCACCTTTTTATTATTAATATTATCTATGGAAAATGGCTTAACTGACGTACAAATACAAATATTCTTTATTGTCACAAAACAAAACAACAAAAAAATAATAAAAAAAACGAAGCATCAAATAATTGTGCCTATTTTTAGCACATCTTTAACAATGTAGAAAGAAAAGTCACATTGGCGTTATAGATCGTAAAATTAATTAATTAACATTTAGTGTTCCGACGTTGTTTATGTAGATCTTTAATTAAAATTCATTAGACAAGATGTTATTAACAAAAGCATCTTATTTATTACGAGTTATACATAACTGTAATTTAGGCACACTATTTCGCAATTTAATATCAACACGTTTAAATGGAATTACAATTTCCCACCTTTTCGATGTCAATTGTCAATGTCAGTTTTAAATGACATATCGTTCTTTGTTTTTTTCTATATGTAGGTAGCACTTTATTCGCATTTAATGAAGTTACAAGTTAAAATCAATTTCGTTTATTGATGTGTGAATGCATAACGCACGCCCTTGTCCGGTAATGTGTAAATCGTACTACACCCGCCGCGGAAAAAATCATCGGCCAGGACCTTTAATTACACCACCAGCCAGCTACACTACTTCTCGAGGCAGCCATGGAAACGTTTGTACGACTACAAAGTGAGATTAGGGATGTTCTTGGTAAAATAACACAATTTTTAGATTGAAAAAACACTTCCGACACGGGCAAGAATCGGACCGGCATCCATGGCGTTCCGTGCTGCTGATATGGTACCTCAATTGGTTAGAGCAACAATACAGGTGAAAAATATGTTTTCTAGCACCAGATAGTAATAATACTTAGTTTTATTTTCATAGTATGTATTAGATGTCACCAATGTAATGTAAGCTCGGCACTAAAAGTTCGAGTGGCTCCATCGCGAAATCAATTTGAATAAGGGAGCCAAAATGTAGCGCATTGCGAAACTATGATGTACATTGAGTTAGATAACAATTTCGCCCAAACCACTTCCTTACACGATAGAACATCTCAGAATTCCCGCGAGCAAATAACTGAATACCGGCACGCGCGTTATATTTCGCAATTCCCCGCAACGGCTAAACTACGTAATAATATTGTGGCTGGGCTCACATTTGGGGCGGAATCATCGATAGTCATTATCGGAAAAGCGGGTTTAAGAGCCGTCCCGGTCCCGGCGGGACCTTTACGGGGGTCTCATCCGACGCGTTCGATAACTATGCTAATGTTATTTGAGGCAGTGGGTTGGCTACGGCAGCATCTCGCTCGTGTGCCAACGCAACGTCCCTTAAGGTGCGGCTTACGAGGAACTCTTTGTTTATGACTTGTACGGAAAGGATTTCTGCGGTCAGTACCGAGGTGTGCGATGATGGAATGGCGTTGTAACGTTTTGTTCGCGTTGGACTTTTCGTGAATTTATTTTTGTTAGGGGTAGTTTTTATCTACCGGATTATAGGGAAGATTTGAATAAATTTAAACACTATAGAGTCAAAATGTAAATAATGAAATACTTGAATATGTGGCTTTGGCATTTAGGGATTTTAAATCTATATTACACGTAAACTATTCAGGTGATAATCATTGTCTATATACTGTCTATAGTTTACGCGAGTAGTACACATTTAAATAAAACACTTTAACGGTTTAGAACGTGATATTTTATTTGAATAGTCATTTTCAAATAAGTTTAATTAATATATCGCGTTTTAAACCGTTAAAGTGTTTTATTTCAATGATTGCCTATAGTTAACATGAGTGGTACACCTTTAAATAAACACGTTTAACGGTTTCAAACGCGATCTATATTAGTTTACTTATTTTTAATTACATTTACCTACGACCGGGCGTTTGGGACGCTTTGCAGCAGTTGTGGTCACAGTCACTCTTAAGCTTTATATTATTGTGTTTAGTATTAAAAAGGTTTTATTAGAAATCTTTTTGTTTTTAAGTCACCACATAAAAGGCAACTTATCAGTTGCAATTTGTCCCATTTTTAACCTTAAGTAATTTCTCGCAATAATGTCCAGCGAAAGATTTTTCGGAGCTAATCCGAAGACATTGCGTGACCGAGATGGAACCATGGAACTATTTAGTGGAGTTGTGAGTAGAATTACAAAGAGTCCCATCTGTCCTCTTATATCGCACGTAGACAGCACTATTCAGTTGATCGAAAAACTTTTCCAATAGCACTGTGACTCCGATGATAGAAAATAGACCGCAGGTTGCGTAAGGGCACTTTTATTGCAATACCTTTACTTTAAGTTTCTCGTTTGTCTTACTGTTATTATGTATTCTATATATACCTTGAGGTATAGAGTTGAGTTTAGAGATATAAAATTAATTTTACATCGCCTTAAAAAGTATTTAGACACGGATTTATCAAATTATAGTATTTTTATCATAGAAGAGAACAGACAAGCATGGTAGCATAAATACCCCAGGCATAAATTTAAACCGTTAAAAATGAATCTAAACAAGATGCGCTGTCGGTCTATTGTTTTGGATATTCGATAATCTACAGACTAACTTTTCATCCTGAATGTTTCTGAAAATTTATGAATTTATTGCACATGATGGCACTATAAAAAATAAAAATCGATAAGAGTATCATATTTTTTAGTCTATAATCGATTTTAAATACCGTCTGTTGTTTACGCGAGTAGTGCACTTTTAAATAAAACACTTTTTATCGGTTTTAACCGTTAGAAGTGTTTTATTGACAGGTGTAACCAGGGACACACACTGTGACCACGGCTGCTGCGAAGCATCCGAAACGTCGGGCCGTAGTTAAAAATAATTCTCAAACAAGTTTAACTAAAATATATCGCGTTTTAAACCGTTAAAGTATTTTGTTTAAATCGATTTTAAATATATATATTGAACCTGTTGGAGATCGAACCCACGTGCCGTTGTTTATTAGCCATGCATTGCTACTAATACACCAATCCCGTCAAATAATGAATTTTCTTTGCATTGCTTTGATTGTTACAAGTCATACAATGCTACCATTCGATCAGTTCATATCGTTCACCGTTTGAAGTTTAATATTTACTCAAATGAATATTAATTAATACCATCATGCAAATATTTGCAACCGAGGTCAAAAACTCGAATTGTGGAAATACTTTAAAGTTGTTTAAATCTGTTTGATGGCTCCAGGTTTACATTTGCTTTCAGAACTTCGCGTTAAATACAGTTATTATAGTTACGGTTAGTTCTCGTTGTTTTCATTATTAATAATTATTATTGCAAACTGTTAATATGGGGAAGATAAGGTTGTATATGCAAAAGTGTCTAATTCCCATTTAAATACAATACTTTTTATGTATAACGCGAAATATATTTAACTTATTAACAATATATTGACCTACCCTGACCATCAATGCTGAAAATTGAAAGAAAGAAAGAAAATTAGTTTGCTCATTGGTGTTAAGGTAGCAATGTACGGCTAATAATTAACGGGTCTTGTCCGATGTCCACAGGGTCTAACATATTTCTAATCAATTTATATATTTTTGAAACACAATGAACAGCCCACAGATGAAAAAGCGGTGAGTTACCACGAAAATGCATGTTCGATAGATGACGTCAATGGTACAAAAGTAGAAATAATATGTATCAAATATTACAAAGGTATAACTTTTAGCCTTCCACCACTCTCACTTGCTTATTCCAATTTTGACACCAGATTTTAGCACTTTGCTGGATGTCTTCCAGTGTGCTGATGTTCCACCTATGGTCACGCCATCACTGTGGTGATTTTTGTCCATCTGTCATTTGCCGGTCTAATAATAACAATATATATCTTACAGCTAAGGTTAGGTATGGGTACGTTGCCAATTTCTGAACCATTTTATACTTTTTTCAAAACATCGTTAGACCCTGAAACACTGGATTATTTAACAACATAATCCAATGTTTCAGATACAAAATGAACGCCTATCATCCACAAATGAAATAAGTCGATAGTCGCGGTTCGATTTCAGTGAGTTTTCTGAAAATCCAAAACCAACTATCACCTCAACACAATAGGTATGGATTGAAAAATTAAATATAATTCACACGTTATTGAACATGATGGTATTATATAAATTAAAATTGTTTTAGAGAGGAACTAGCTGTACTGTAGATATCGGTTCAAGTCCTCTCTTTGTCGTATTTTTTTAATAAATTTTTAATTTTGATGTTATATTTCATCTCCATATGAATATTATGCCAAACTATTCTCTTCTGTCATGAAAGAGATCTATGCGATAAATGCCTCTGAACAAACAAGCACAACAGAGCGATGAAAAGGCCAAATTTATATGAAGAACGTGTGCTGCAGCATATCTGCATTTTAAGATTAACCTCAAACAGCGCGGGCACTGTATATAATCTTTAGAGTAAACTGAAATTTAATTAATTCTGCTATGACAACGCAAACACGTCCACGTCAGACTCCTGCTACAAGTGTAGTAGAAAGTTCGCAACTAGCGTTAGCATTAGTTAGACTCCCCGTTTACACGTGAAACTGCCTCGACTCTTCGACGGCGAGTTACGCTGAGTAATTAGCCGATGGGTGGAGTAAAAATAAGCTATAGATAACAACTGTGGGGTGAACACATTTCAACAACGATCAATAACAAGTTATTAAAGTTTAAATAAAACATTTTAACGGTTTAGAACGCGATATATTAGTTAAACTTATTTGAAAATTATTTTTAACTTCAGCCCGACATCTCCCCGGTCTCCCCGTGGTCACGGAGAGACTGTAGCTGGAAAGCCCCGCAGTTACTGTCTAAACAGTTAAAAGAGATTCATTTAAATATGTGTTTCTCCCGTAAACTACAAACAATAATAAAACTCGCATAACTTAAATACTGCCTATAGTTTACGCGAGTAGTACACATTTAAATAAAACACTTTAACGGTTTAAAACGCGATATATTAGTAAAACTTATTTGAAAATTATTTTGAACTACGGCCCGACGTTTCGGATTCTTTGCAGCAACCGTGGTCACGGGGAGACCGAGAAGTACTCGCGTAAACTATAGACAGTATTTAATCTTCATTATTCTAGTCTTATTGGCTTCCAATATGAATTCGCTATATGAACTCACAAAACGGTCAAGAAATGTTTTCATATGGAACAACCTCTTGAAAACTATCAAAATCCGACAGTCAAACTAAAATATTGTATAGTGGATATTGCATCGTTGTGCTAGCGAATGTATAGCTCTAACGACGAAAGCTTGCTTTAAAGTTTTAATAGCTCTGCCACACTTTTACCTACTGGTTTTGAACGAGGTCGCGTTAAAATAATATACGTTACTTGATCGGGCAAACGTTTTGTTGTATACAAGATTATTATTAATAATATAATAATTAATAAAAACAATTTCTTGCTAGTTAATCAACGCTAGACTTATATTGTCGCGGACATTATATAGATCATTTAAAGAGCCATCATTCTATTCTATGTAATTTCTGATTTCTTGAACCTCCTTCGCAGCACACGCAACGGAAACTCTGAAAATGAATATTCTTTCACCGCTTCTTCGCTCCTATTGGTTGCAGTGTGATGTTAACCCTTCCTTAATAATTGTTAAATTATTAAAAAAACATTTCTGAGATTCGCGTATTTAAATAAACAAGCTCTATAATAGTTACTTATAGTTAGATTAGATTTCGCAACACATTTAAAATTAAGAAATATCCTTAATGGACTCTAGTTTCTTTTCGATACGTTGAATTGAGTTTTCATGTATTGTTTACGGTTTTTTATGCGCCGGGGGCTTTTGCTAATTAAAGAAAGATTTTTATCTTTCCTACCTTTTGGCGAAAGATAAAAGATAGAAGATAGTCCCCCACAACCGCCCATGACATCCAATTAGATTTTTAATTCAAGTAAGACGAATAAATCATTTACACTAAGTATGTCTTGTATGTAGTTTATTCGAGTAGTACACATTTAAATAAAACACTTTTAACGGTTTAAAACGCGTTAAATGTTCGTTAACGTCTTTTTTTAACTACGACTTGACGTTTTGGATGCTTTGGTGTAGCCGTGCTTGCAGGTGTTAAGATAGAGGGGGTCCTCAATGTCCTAGTCAAATGTGCTACGCTAACGCCATCTGTCGTCGTAAACGGTTAAAAGTGTTTTATTTCAATTGAATACCTATTAAAAAGCCGATTAACAGTGTACATTTTACGGGCAGCAGTGTGACGTCATTATCGTTATTTATACGCGCCGCGTGCCGTGGCTCTGTCTACGTGACCGCCCTCCGCAAGCGAGCGTTATCAGCGACCTCCTTCTGTCATTGATTGCTTTTTACGTTTGCAGTCGGCCACCATCTAATCTCGCTGGAGCCGTGGCTGGAATTGGAAGCATCTTATGTAACGCATTACATTGTACGTTAGTTTGACGGGCTCATTGGGGTAATGATAGCAATGCATGGCTAATAATCAACGGGCCGTGGGTCCGAAAGCTGAAGCTTGTTTGTTTGAACGCGCTAATCCAGGGAAATGCTAGTTCGAATTGAAAATGTATTTTTGTGTTGGTTAGAACATTTATCGAGGAGGGTTTTAGGCTACAAAACTATGTGAAAAGTAAGAGCGATAAAATAGTGGGAAATGTGGAAGAAACGGGGAAAATTATTCAACTTTAAGGGTTTCCGTTGCGTGTGCTGCGAAAACGGTTTGAGATGTACAAAAATATGTATGTGCAATACTGATTCTTCTTTATATAGTCTAAAAAATATTCACGACAATAAGTCAATTTTTGAAGATTAACTTTCAAGAACGACGGGACGCAACCGACGTCGTGGGAAAGGATAATGAGGAGGTTTGCAGAAAACAAAATTTGATGTCCAAAATACCTGGCTGACACAGCTAGTAGTACCCAATACTTTCGTATAATTTATATTTCTTAAATTTGGTAACTATGGATACGTAAATAGGAGAGCTTTACAGCGACTAGTACTTATTAAAAATAATTTTAATGATTACAATATATAACACAGATGTCACTCAAACCGCATGTGATCTGATGTTTTTTCTTCATTGAAAAATTGAAATCAATGAAACTTTTCAAATTGGGATAGATATAGTCTATATATTAGGCTACTTTGTTATAATGTTTAAAACATATTAATAAAAAAACACTTTTAACGGTATGAACCGTAAATGTATTATTTAAACTTACTTTAACACCGGCCGACTTTTCGGATGCTAAGAAGTAGCCGTGGTCACTACTTTAATCTACCGTGACCACGGTTTTTCGGTTCTTTTAAATATGTATTAGCCGAGTTAACTACAGCCAGAACTTAAGTAAATAAATTCAAATTAATTTCTGTGCTTCTACTTAATTAATTTTTAAGCAGAAATTATTCAAACCTTCAAAGTATTTATTATTAGTTTAGTTCCAGTGAATGTCATGAAAGCGGACTCGCTGTTTTGAGAAGTTCTCTTGATATTATGCGCTAAGTTCAACAAGTTTGTAAACAACGAGGGCTGGCTTTTTGTTCTACGGTTTCCCTTCCTCATAAGCTCTTAGCAAAACCTTATATAAAACGAATCCATTCTCTAAACGGTATGCTTTATACCTACCTATAGTAATAATATAAAGCTGAAAAGTTTGTTCGTTTGGACACAATTAATTAAGTAACTGCTTAAACGAAAGGATTGTGATTAGCTGCTAAAAAGCTTGCAACTTTGTAAAAGTGTGCTGCCAACTGTTAATTTGCAATACGCGGGAAATTCATAAGCTGACAACAGCAAACCAATTTTAAAATGGTATACATTTTTGTAAGTACTGTGTGTAGTTTACGCTAGTAGTACACATTTAAATAAAATATTTTAACGGTTTAAAACGCGATATATATTGATTTAACTTGAAAACATTAATATTTTTCACATGTTATTGCACATGAATGCATTATATAGTTTAAAAATTGAAAATAACTTGAAAACATTTTCGACTCGGGCAGGACTTGAGCCGGCGTCGTCAGCTTTCCGTGGTGCTGCTCTTGGTATAACTTATTTAGAAATTACTGACATTTCGGTTGCAGCTATCGTGGTCACGGAGGATTTTTTATTTGTTGTACTTAATTATTAATCAATAACGATATTTTAAACGCAACACACCACCATCCACAGATTATAGAGTCGTTAATAGTAAATTTATTTTTCGGTTTTATATAAATATAAATTATATAAATATCTGAATCTAAAGCTAAAATTGGTCCACAATATAACTTATTGAGACTCTATAGAACTAGTGTTGAAATACATTTTTCCGTCAAATTATATCATATTCTTGTCTTCTGACATAAAGAAGCAATAAAATATATGAAATGCAATTTAAACTTGTAAAATTTCGCTAACTTGAATAAAACACAATATAACAGTTAAAAACGTGAAATACCTTAGTTAAACTTTCTTGTGAATTATTTCAATCCATCCGAAACGCAATCGAAACGTCGGGCCGCTGTTTAATGTATATTTTTTTGCCGTTAAAGTGTTTCATTTAAATGTGTACTCCTCGCGTAAATTACTAACAGTATCTCTTTTTAGTTTAAAAAAATCTTGTTAGAAACTAATCGTAACAAAATCAACTGACCAGTAGATCTTCATATAAAATTAATTCGGGAACAAAGCCATTGTTTCTGTCAACATGTTGAAAGGATTTTCTCATCGTATCTTTGTCAGCCGTGGTCATGTTTACATCGGCTCCGTTGAGCTCTATGACATCGGCTGTGCTATTTGTAAACTAGGCTTTATGGGCTTCCGAATCAAGTTAACTGACGGCCAAGTTGATTTTGCCGTTTGTACCGGTTAGAAAAGGATTAGGCAAAGAGCCCTCTAGGCTATATTAAATAAGCCTCAAATAATCGCGTTACCTTTTTGACGGCTGGTTAGTGTAACGGCTGACCATTACATTACTGGTCGTGGGTCCAACATTTTTATAATCAAATTGTAGTTATTCTAAAACATATTGGATTGGAAATCTGAATATTTAATTGTTGGTAGAAATATTGATATTCCTACGAACCACCGCCGACGTATGAGAAAGCTAAATACTGTAAAATTTAATTAAAACCGAAGTTAAAAATCCGTCTTAAGAGATCCAAAATCAAGTACCCCCATATTTACATGTGCTATCTTCTCTTCCAGCGCGCCTCATCATCAATCTTGAAGCATTAGCACCACGTCTAGATACAGTCACTGAATATCCCCAGTGACCTGACCAAATGCAGGTACCTAATTACCCAGTGGAGTGAAAGAAACGACTGTATTTACAGAGGAGTTAGAAAGGGAGGGATGCAGCCAGCTAGTCAATCTGTCAATGTCGTATTGAGTAATCTTGTAAAAGCGGGTGTGATAAATCCTGCGAGCTAAAGGATGATATTTGCTTCCGCGTATTATTAAAAAGGGGTTGACAAATTGTAGGCCCAAGAGTATTGTGAAAGGAAGTAGTTAGTAAGTTTCGCTAACAATGACTAACCCTGACCTTTGAGGCGTGTGGGTTCCTTTGTTGAAGGACTCACAAGATATCATTATTCACTTTATTTTTCCAACACTTAAGCGAACTTAATTCTTACGTTTATAAAAGTATGGCAAGAAAAGAAAGAATTAAGCTAGACATTTCAGTATACGCAACAGACAAAAATGTATTTGAATTTATACAGTATCAAATAAGTTATAAAAGGAGGAATGACTGAACAGAAGATTAAAAATACAGATAAAAAAAATATACATATAAAAACAGATTAAAAAATGTCGTTCTGTTTTAATATCTGTAAAAAATTTGGTCATTGACATAAACACAGAAATGTGTCTACGTCACACGTAGGAACTATAGCAGTTCACTTTTGAATTAACATATTATTTTTTTTACTAATTAGCAGTAGTACATTTTTATTAGTTCAATGATTGAATTCAAGATGAATAATTTAAGAAAATAAATAGCTAATAGCCGCCAAGGTGTAAAATGTATACTTCAACTTTTATAACTAAATCTATCATTAATACACAAATAATAATTAAATTTCCAAAATATACAACTTTTTGAATACTGAATATCATCAACAAGCGGTTACAAACTTTCGCTCCGAACAAAGTTTAGTGATCCCATCTAATAAAACATTCAACTTTCGACCGGAATCTGAATGTGCAATTTGTTTATTATTTTATTTGGTATGCGATCAAATTAATAGTTTCCATGAAAAGTATTCCTTACTAAAATACATTGATATATCTTAACATAATTGCAACGCCCTGTTTCATCTTAAAGTACCTAGGTAAGTAGCTCACGTTTACCGGGAATTCCTTAAACTGGTAAATCGTAAACATGCAATTTATTTTGAATTAAAACGTTACATTAGCAAGATGTATTTTTCACCATCGAACCAAAAACAGATCGCACTAAAAGTTCTCCAATCATTGTAAAATATTTCAATTCTTCGAGCAATCGAGGCGCTAACATCTCCTGATGATGCTGTCCGCTCGTGATGGCGAAACGTCGGCCGTGAACAAGAAAGCCCTACACAATTTATCATAGTAAAATAATCTATACTAATATTAAAAATGCGAAAGTAACTCTGCTGGTCTGTCTGGCTTTAACTTCGAAACCACTGAACTGATTTATATGAAATTTGGTACACAGATATTTTAGAGCCTGAGAAAGGACATACTTTTTAGTGCCAAAAAAGGGTTGATAGGGGTGGAAAAAGGAGATGAAAGTTTCTATGGATTTCCTAGAACAATGAAATTCTTTCTTCTTTGGCTTGTTGTGAATAGGAGTAGGAGTGGGAGTGGGCATGGGAGTAAGAATAAGAGTGGGAGTTAGAGTAGGCGTGATGTGAGGTGAGAGTGTTGCGACAAAGTAGCACGTACCATAGATTGACTGCCTTAATTGCGCCCTTACATAAATTAATAAACAGCCTAAATAATTAAAAATTCTACCCCAAGTCACTATTCTACGCGGACGAAGTCGCAGGCACAGCTAGTCTTCAATACATTAATCTTTTTACTTATTACCACTAATGTATATCACAAACCTTCTAAATATAAACCTCGAAAATTATTATTTTTCGCTCCATGCAAAGCTGAAAGTTTATATCGCTTTTAGTTCGTAATATGAAATTTGGACTACCAGGAAATTCTATTTATACTACTGTTTACATTCGTTTAAAGTTTTAATTACTCGGCTGTATTAGAGGATATTTCTATAGCTAAAAGAGATTAAATAAAATAGAGAGACAAAAGCAGTTGTGCCAAAAGTATTTATATTAGAATTAGATAACTGTATAAGAAAACTTGATACTTTTCACGTATACGTGCTATAATTAAAAGTAGCTCAATTGGTTAGAGCAGCAGCACGGGACGCCGTGTATGCCGCAAGACTTGTCTATGTCGTATAATCTAAAATCTATTTATTTTAACTGCCCGACATTTTTTTAGCCCATTTTATATATGAGAGTATATTTTTGTGTCCCCTTATGTTTTATAAAAAAAAAATAAAAAAAAAAAAAAAATTTTTAAAATTAAAAAAAAGAAGCCCCAAAAAAAATTTTAATAATTCATTTTATTATAATATTATAATCATGGTCGAAAAAATCTTATCTAAATACTGTTTGTAGTTTACGCGAGTAGTACACATTTAAACAAAACACTTTAACATATTTAAAACGCGAAAAAAAGTTATTTTCAAATTTATTAACTACGGCCCGACGTTTCGGCTTTGCAGCCGTGGTCACGTGGAGAGTGTGTTTTTAAAAGATCTTAATCTCGTTATAAATATATCTATGTACAACTAGAATGTTAAAGCATTTTTTTTGAATTGTATGTAGAGTTAATTAAACTCGAATAAAATAAATTTCACAAACTCAATTTAATCTTTTATGGCAACACTCATTAAGAACATTAAATACGGCTGATCTAATTAGGAGACGGGATGTGTCGCGTACCGAACTAATTCCGACACTGACAGACACTTCAGTATTCTAAATCAAGAAACATGTGTTACGTATTTAAATAAAATACTTTAACGGTTTAAAACGCGATGTATGGCCCCGGAGTTAAAATAAAATAAAATATACTTTATTCTCCTTAAAAAATATTTACATTCGTCAAATTTTTTTTCGTTTGTCTGTCTGTTCGTGGTAATTCTACAAAGTGTTCTAGAGAGAGAACACCCAAGGAACTCGGACCGGCTTTTTTAAATATGTCATATAAACTAATACATTTTTGTAAATTTATTAACAAGAGCAATTCATACTTACTACCAGGCGGTCTTGTCATTAAAGCAATCGTTCGGACAATAATACGCCTTTTGAAGCAATCTAAGTTTTATAACTCTCTTAAATTTATTTATCGATAAATTTGAAATCTCGAACGACTTTTAAACTTTTTTATTTAAATGATATCATTAATAGTTATATCAATTTTCCAAACAACATTTATTTGGCGGACCAGCTTGTGACAAAATGCCATACAAAAATATACGAAGTGAATATAAATTAAAGAATTCACGTATAACAGTCACAAATTCAAATAAACCTGATACTCCAGCTCGAAAAGTGATATTAAAATAAAATTTTACAGTAACGCAAAAACAAAAGGTAACCTACTAACACCGTAATTTTTTACACCAGTCCGCGCTCGAACGTGCGTCGCTCACATTAATGAGAATAAAAATGTGAACTTTGCGTAATGATAAATATATTTTTAAACGAATTCAGAATATACAGAGTTGAAACTGTATGTTCCTTTTTCTTAATTAAAACGTGAATCGAATTTCTGTTCGAGCGAATTAATTCTCACAGTTTTTAAAGATCTATTTTCCGATACGAACAACTAATGTAGAATTACTTAATAGTATTAAGTACATCTACATCAGTTATTTTGTAATTAAACCTACAATCGATTTTTTAAAATCGTTAAATTCTGTACTTATTATCTCTTATTCCCAATGGGGCATGGGGTCGTGTTTCTGTGTCCGTTTACTGATTGATATCAAACCTCTTAAACGGATTAGATTTTTAAGTTTGTATTCCAGTGTACAATTTTGTAATAAAACAAATAAAAATATGAATATAATATTTTTATTATACAAAATATATGTTTCACATATTAATGCACATGATGGCATTATGAAAATAAATAAAATAATATCTAATGAATTAAACATTTTACAACCCGCCCGACTCGCAATTTTTTTCAACCTATATAGGTTAGAAAAAATAATTTGTTAATAATACACATTGACAAACCTATTGCACTTCTTCTTGTCTTTCTCCTCGTCGGGTAAAAGAAGAAGTGAAATCCCGTTTCCCCCTTGTGGGGTGAACACATTTCTGTGTCCGTTTCACTGAACCGTTCTTTTTAACAGGCACGTAGTTGATCAAACTTCCTCTCGGGCATAACGCAATGCTAGGCTATACAATTAACCATTTGGCTACAGAGGCGGTCATCGTCGGTTAAAGAACATACTATTTATTTATTGTTCTTGGTTTACATACAACATACATGCTTTTATATTAATAATAATACAGAAAATTATTTTTTACATATACGTCAATAACACAGAAACACATTACAGATGTTGATCGATATCAATGATTTTGGTAAAAAAATGTAGTTATGAAATTGCTCTAAAAATGGTATTTATACGTTTTGTAAAACGATATAGAGGTGACAAAATCTCAATCAACAAAGGGAATTAATAATTTAATTGTCTATTGGAGGGCATAATTAGGGCTATTCAAACAATTTATTAAGGAAACGATAAATTGAACAGCTCATTAGAGCATTCGGTAATAGAGTGCGAACTGTCGGTCTGCGACAAAAGAAAAGTGGGCGAGCGGCGCCTTTGTTCTTCGTAAATCGACTACCGAACCGTTTGTCGTCATTATATCAGACTGATTCGACGTTTATGGCCTCTGCAGCGTCTTACTGTAACTTTTGGTTTGGTCATTGATTATTATACGGCGTCTTTAAAAGCTGCTAGTAAAATCTCGTTTGTAAATACGCTTGAAAGCTTTTTTGTTGTATTTTGTCTATTGTTGAAAACTTACTTTAGTCTAGTAGTATTTTTATGGTATATATAACGTATATTACGATACGATAGCACAATTGGTTGGAGCAAGAGCACGGAATGCTGAGGATGCCTGTTCACGTCCTGTCCGAGTCGTAAATTTTTTAAAACTGAAATCCATCTTTACAGTATTAAAACTAAATA